CTATATATATATATATATATATATATATATATATATATATATATATATATTTCTTTACATTATTACATTGTTTTATCTTGCCGTTGCGAAAGCAGCTCTTGCAAAATGGTTGGTATTTCGCGTTTCAAATAACCCTGCGCGATTGTTGACATTGTGAAGTATGTAGTGTTACGGCGGAGAGCTAAAATGCAACGCGTTGAATAATGGAATGGTTACGAGTAACCCGGGTTAAGTTGCTCATCTATAATAATGTGCAGTATGTAGCTAAGCTTCGCCAAAAGCCGCATTACCCCTCGCTTAATAATACGTCACGGTTGATAGAGATCCTTCTGGTGAATAAATGATACAAAGACGGCGGAGTACACAAAGATGGAATATTCAAAAAAAAAAAATCACTTCTCATAGAAAACAGATATTTTCCGGCTTTTTAAGAAATAATTATTGCCGGTAAATAAAATAGCTAAATATAGACTAATATTATGTACATTACATTTTAATCATTTACTTTGTATGCTCTATTTTAATGAAATTAAGTTAATTCGACAATTTTATTGTTTGACAATTGAAATAAAAAATACATTATACTCGTACGTCTTAAGAGACTTAAGTAATTTATACGCTTATCAGATATCTTCATTAGCTAAATGATTCAACTTTACAATAGGAGTTTGATAACGGCGAATTACGTTGATAGAACTATTTGCGAATCAGCTTATTAATTTAATAAAAAGTCACGCGCAAATAAAACTTGATTCTGTAGAGTTAACTTCTTCTCTGATGTGGTAAGTTCTTTTTAAATGTATAATTGTTATTCAAGTTTAGTGCACAATACATTTGTAATGGTATGTAAATCGCATATTATTTCTCTAAATTCAAATATTTATTTATTATTTTGATTAAAATGATTTAATGAATTTTGATTAGACATAAATTAAATTTCTATGTCAAAACAAAATATGCTTATTAGCCATTACTCCATAAATTCTATATTTAATAGTGCATTCGAAGAATGGGTTTGGTTATTGCCAGTAAAAACAGTGCAGTTGGTAACAATGAAAATTACTGATGCTGCGTTTCGTTTCTTTATCAATAAAGCCAATAAAATAATTAAAATGGATCCCAACTAATTCGAAAGATAATTTTCAAAGAAATTGTTTATTTGATTTTTTTGGTTCTTTAGATTAAGCTAATAAAATAAAAAACGATTAGTAATAATTATGGAAAAATTTTATTTGACAATATTATTTTCAAATCTTTTACTAGTGCTTCACAGTTTGACAATCTCAAAATTTTTAATATTTTCAAGATTCGAAAGCTCATCATAGATAGCTTATAATTCCGAATTGTACCTTTTTTCACTTCGCAAAATGGGGCACCAAAGATAAAAAATATTGCCATTCCATGATAATGATCACTTAATTAAGGAATAAAAAAAATTGTTTCTGTAACATAAATGTTATGACTGTTATTATTAAAATATGGATTATAAAGTTATACTATATCATGAGCACGATTATACACTTTCTCTTGTAATATATTGTACATTTATTGTTTCATCGAGTAAATCAACCAATTGCTGACTATTGTTCCGTTCATCCGTGAAGAGATATTTTCGGAGTGTACAAACATTTCCTCCATTTCTTCAAACTATTGTACGTGTAGCACTAAAAAGCACAATTAACGATACAACAATCCTTTTAACCTGAAAATTATCTTTCGGATTATTTGGGATGTCCATCGGTTGTTTTCACTGATTTCACTAATACGGAAGAAATGAAACGCAACATCGGTAATTTTCAACTGCATTGTTTTTCACTGGCAGTAATCAGACCCTATTTTCGAATACATTATAAATAACGTTTTCAATCGCTCTCGCCTCGGTACGTCGATGCGAGTCGCATGTTTGTAGGAATTAAACGTGTCACGCGTTCGTATCACGCGGCGGCGACAGCGATAACGCATCCTCATGTAAGGTCGCTGCATTTCAGTTGGCCTTTCCGCGCGTGCTGCAACATCCTTCGTGACAAATATGCAACCACACGAATCTCGTGCGCGCTTCACCGTGTCGTCGGCACGGCGTCTTCGTCCGGACGGCGGGATTTGGCGATGTTTGTGCGTCCTCGTGTACCTACTCAGCCTTGCAGATACCTTCAGCATCTCCGAGCCACCCATCGTCTACACGAAATGGGGCCTGCTTCGCGGCAAGTGGAGTTGGTCCACGTATAATCGGCCGATCGCGAATTTTCTTGGGATACCGTACGCGCAACCCCCGTGGGGCGAACTGAGATTCAAGGTATTGCATGGTATTTTCATATGGCATATCATCTTTGTATCCATATCTTACAATAATTTGTAAAAAAAACTTACTGTGTATTTGACTTTTACTTGAGAAAAAAATCATAGATTTCTAAATAATTTGTCAAAGAATTAAAAATCAACATTGATCATGGTATTTCTATGCAAAAAAAAAAAACGGTTTTGCTAAAGAATAAAAATTTGACAAGATAAAGATTTGAAAATAGTTACGTAGGATGCTTAAGTATGACGAAAATACTATAAAATACTATAAATACTATAAAATTTTTTTATATTTTAAAAACCAATTTCATTTTGCATCGAGCGACTTTAATTATTTTGATGGTTCAACAAAATTATTTTCTACGTGTATTGTCTTAGCTGAAATATATCTAAATTCGAGCAAATTAATTAGAATACATAATTAATATACAATCATATGTGTTGTTAGAGCCCGCAACCATGGAATCACATATGGATGACGATACGCAATGCTACAATCGATGGACAGAAATGTATTCAAATTACGAGAAGAACCGAACTCGTTGGCAGTGAAGATTGCCTTTATCTAAATATCTTCGTCCCCGATGTGAATAATATATTATATTATCGCTAAATATCAATCGTAATAATCAGAATATGAAATAACAATAAAATTTTGATAGCGGATATTTTTACATAATCAAGTAAATAATTAGCATCACGCGCAATTTTCGCAGTTCCATTCAAAATTTGAACAGAGAATTGCAATGTTCCAAAAACGAACTTGATTAGAATGACCTGATGGCTTAATTAAACTTAAATGAATTAAAGTTACATTGTTACGATACATTGTTGCGATATTCAGCAATTTTCACGTTAAACGTTTAGCACAACATCCACTGTTAAAAATATTTCGCTTTTCTATTTACTCATATATAACAATTCTATCATTTTCCATAACATAAAAAAATCTTCGTAGATTTTAGGCATTCGAGAAAAATCCGAGAAACTACCGGTTTTAGTTTTCGTGCACGGAGGAGGATATTTTCAGGGAAGTAGCGATAGCAACCTATATGCACCGGATTATTTGTTGAATCACGATGTGATCCTCGTTACAATGAATTATCGTCTTCATGCCTTAGGTAAAGGAAAAAATAATGTTAAACATATACAGCAAATTCGAGATAATTCAGTAAGATAATTCAGATAAGATGGGTCTCATCATGGTACATAAATAATGAATTCAAATTACTTAGGCTTTTTTAGCACAACGAACAAGATTTCTCCAGGTAATTACGGTATTAAAGATATAAAGATGGCCCTCGAATGGATACAAGAAAATATCCACAGCTTTGAAGGGAATCCCAAATCGGTAACTCTTATGGGATCGAGTGCCGGTGCTGTGCTGACTCATTTTTTAGTTATGTCAAAGAAGACCGAGAATCTCTTCCACCGATATATTCTGCAGAGCAGTACCGCTTTATCTTCATGGAATTTTGTTCCTCGAAAAAAGTATAGACAACAATGTTTGAAATTGGCAAAGCTTGTCGGCTGCTTACCGAAAAGAAACCAAAGCATGATCGTGTCGAATGAAACAATTACCGAAAGTCCGGAAGAAGGAGATGTAAAAAGAAGTAGCGACGATATTTTGTACTCGAGTTATACCATGAAGGACGACGAAGAGATAATAACATGCATGAGGAGGGTCGATGTGAAGGAACTAGTAAAAATGACACAATCTTTCGTAAGTATCTGTAGTGTTATAAAAATTTTAATATGTTCACAATAACAATGGTTTTGTATTAGTATGTTTGGAGAAACAATCCATCGTTTACATTTATGCCCACATTGGAGGATGACTCGGAGGACGCCATCCTGACGGTGCACCCATTGAAAATAATAAAAGAAGGACTGTTTCGCGATATACCGGCAATAATACAAACCGTAAAGGACGAGAGTTTATTAAAAACAGTCGGTAATTTTCCGTTATTATTTGCCGTAATAATATTTAATTAATTAAAGCTGTCGCGCAAATTAATTAACGGCGTCGAATAATTTTCTTGGACGGAAGAGATGCAATTATGATTCGTACTATTACATTAATTAACCTTACATTAAGTAAAATTAAAAGTCTCATTTTTCACGGGACGAGATGCCTAGCTATACTCTAGACATACATTCCAAAGAAGGAATTATTTTCAATAGATTTTCGATAATGAACTGAAAGGAACTCAGTGATTTCGTGTTTATTTCAGACTTGATCATAAATCCCGATCTCAAGGACGAATTTATAGAGAATTTCGAAAAGTACTTTCCCGTTTTTATGGAGCACCACAATGTGATTACCAACATCACCTTTTTCGCTTCCGCGATACAAGATTTTTACTTTAACGGAAATATGACAATGATTTCAGCAGAGAACATTACGGAGGTGAGTTCAAGGTTTCAAATACATAAGAAACGTTTGACAATAAAATCATTTCTTCAGATGATGAATGATTTCATAATATGGTCGTTGTTGCGAGTTGCAAAATATCAATCGGAAATAGGAAAATCCAACATTTATTTCTCCTTCTTCGCGTACAGGGGCACGTTCTCACATACCTTCGCTACGGGCACTCCGATTAGTTATGGTATGTAATGAGAATCCCATAACATCAGAGAATTAGGGAGGGAATGAAATTGGCTCTTAACAAGACACATATGAGATCTCTTGAGATATCTTTTCCTCCTAAATCTTGTTAGTAAACAAAATAATTAAATCTATTGATACGATATAATATTTTTCTCCTGAGGATTTTGAATTTTCCAGAAGACTCCCAAATACGAATATAACGTAATAAAAATAATTATGATAAAAAGAGCTGTTTAAAAAATAATGTAAAGAAAAAAAGAAATCCAAGAGATTTTTCGTCATTAATTATATTGTTGTATTATATTGTTATCGCATGCCAAAATCGAAAATGAAGCGTATGTAAATATTTACGTAAACATTTAAATTATGTTTCCCTAGGTGTTTGTCACGGCGATGATTTAAATTACCTTTTTCCTGTATTGAATAATGTGTATCAGAATATGTTACTGCGCAATACGGAGAACGATATAACTATGATTAACATCATGACAGAGATGTGGACGAATTTCGTGAAGAAAGGGTAAATTAATTAATAGTTATTATTTGTATACAATTAATAGCGTTATGTACACCATATTCACGAGCGATCCTTACGAAAGATGTAACATTCATCGAGAAAATTTATATAACGCGAAGTCCCAAAAGATTAGATAACTTTTTATTATTATTTATAATTAATTTGAAAAATAGGAATTCATCGAGCGTGTCACGTTGCTACTTCCATTTGAGCTAACCTTACGTGATCCGTTCGAAGCCAGATACCAAATCGCTAGCTCGAAATTCCGCTTTGTCCAGCAACGACCGGATGTTCTTGCCGATCGTAATGTTTATTACATATGTACCAGGATACCAAGAGCACGGCTGATCCCCGAGTGGCCCGCCTACCGCGATCATCACCAGTTCATGAGATTCGGGATTGACAGATCGCCGGATATTGTGGTGGAAGCCGATTTCCGGCCCGACAGAATGAAATTCTGGGAGAAGTTGATGTCCACAATGGAACCGCTGGAATCCGATACGTTTGTCGACGAACCGTCGAAAGACGCCGAATCTGCCAGTAACGCTAATGCGATCGATCGCCAGCTAATAGTTGCATTTATTGCATTGTCAGCGATTATATTCTTATGAATGAAATTATAATACCTGCGCTCGCAGACAAATTGCAAAAACACAGTAAATTATCCAGTTGCAAGCTAATATCGAGCAATTATTTACGCGCGTCTTGTCACGCATCGTATATATCATTTAAATAATTTCTCCATTCGGACGATCCGAATCAAGGTTCAAATTAAAATACATCAAAATTGTCTGTGGTATAAATGCGAAGAGAAAAATACGCGAAACTGATAGATACAGCGTTTTATACGTAAATAATGAAAATGTTTATTGAAATACATTCCCCATATTAGTAAATTATTATTCACAGAGAGAGAGAGAGAGAGAGAGAGAGAGAGATTGCGATATATACCTAGAGTATATATACATATATATAGTATATATATGAATACAAAAAATATAGGTGAAACACGATTCGTACGATTCGTTTTTTGTGGTTCAAGTATGCTTGAGGTTCGATGTACTTTCCACGCCACGTAAAAAGTAACGACGATAATAAATACCGAGTGAAACTATTTCGTTTACTGCCTGATGCTTATCTCTCTCGCATGAGAAAAATACAGTTGTTAATAGCGTCGATAAAGTTTTGAGAACTAGAAAATTTTGAATTTAACACCGTAAATAAATGCTCAGAATAAGCGAGCTCGTGCTTAGTCTGAGCATTTATTTACGCCGCGTTATCAAATTTTCGAAAATCATCATTTATTTATAACGCGTTAATTTATTTCCTCTCTATTTTTACTTATATCCTGATGCTCGTCGTACGAAATCATGACTAGAGAGATATCGCAATAGACTTTAAGAGCGCCATTCGCGTTTCCGTTCGCCGAAATTATCAGCCGAAATTATAACGTCATCGAAAGTGCCCAAGACGATGTGTGTGTGTGTGTGTGTGTGTGTGTGTGTGTGTGTCGCCACGACCGGCCGTCGCATTAGGAGGGAGACCTAAATAAACGAAAGGCAATAATAGTAAATTCTCTGGGAATTAAGTTCGCCGCCACGCGACGAGTTAACGCCCATATAAAATATGCAGCTTCCACTTTTCCCAGGGGAAACCTCCTCGCCGAGCGCGAGTGCGCTCGGGGAAATTAATCATCCGCCGTAGGCAACCGCTGTTTGTCTTCTTTCCATTTTCCATCCGGTTCCAGATGTATCGCGAGATTAGGTCTCCTCGCCACGAAAGAGAAAGAAAAGGCGAGCGAGCGAAACGAGAGAGGGAGAGAGAAAGGGAGGATCACAGAGAGACGTCCTCTCCCGAGCAATGATTATGCAACGACGATGAAACGAAGACAAACGCCGTGCCGTCGCCCTCCGGAGCGCCCGCCGTGCCTTTTCTAAGGATGAAAAGTACCAACAGTCATGTAAATCCGCGAGATCTCGGACTACCGCGCGGATTATCGTACGGCTCTCTCTCTCTCTCTCTCTC